TATGCGCATGCATAGATGTTTTCTTTCCTTGCAGCACGGTTGAAGCATTCTCCGAGAACCGAAGCTAGGCTAGCAGTTGAGAATGCAATGCGTGGCCTGATGCGTACGCTATGGCGTTATAGGTGAAGCTCAGGCGCGCTTCGAGTGTTTTTTTGTTTTTTTTTTAATCGGACCTTGCCTTTAATGTTTGTATATCACAACCAATGTTCCATTGCACGTTGTTTAGATGAAGTGTTCAACGATTTCGAGTACTTCGTACTCAACTGTGGCATGCAGAGCAGTGAGCCGTCCCGCTGACCCATACGGTGTTTAGAAGTGGTTGTGTTTAGGATAGAAAGAGTGGTTAACGGTTTAGAATACTCGGTACTATACTATGAGTGAACTGAAAGCCGTCCCTCGGGCCTAATTTTTGTCGTGAATCGGCGTCGACAAAAATTACTCTCGGGCCGGGTCATGTGTTTAGAAAGAAATGTTTGTGTTTAGAAAAAGTTGTTAACAATATATACTCTACTATGGGAGATCATAAAGCTGTCCCGTGCGCTCCATGAAGGTTTAGAGAAATTTATTCTCACAGACAGTGAACATCAATTACAATCCATGATGGGCACGCACTAGTAACGGGCAATTGCGATCGAAGCTATAGTGGTTATACGCGTAATAGCGTTCTCCTCTTTGTGTGCGCGCGCACCTGTCTCTCAAGCTCACGGTTGCTGTTTTACCAAAAGCAGTGTATGAAAAAAACGAATAGCTTCGTAAATACGAACCCATTTCGAATCTCATTCCAGTGTTTAGATCAGACTCAACTCCGTCTTTAAGGTATAAGGCAAAAAATACTTGTTTATTTAACTGCGTTCGGAAGTGCTCTGCTGTCACTTGAGCGTCCCCGCGTCCCTCGCTCGCGCTCTTCTTCTTTCTCGTTTCCTTGTCCCAGCCCAGAGCGGGAAAATAGTCAACATTCCCGGCCACGCAAAGTTAAACACATAGTTCAAGTGGGTACAGTCTTTGTATCGGCCTGATCGCAAGGTGACCGCCTTGCAACTTGATCTTGCAAGAACGAATGAGACCGTCTGCACTGCGGTACACTTCCGTGACTCTTGCAAGCTTCCATAGCTGGCGTGGCGTGTTGTCCGCATGCACGAGAACGATGTCCCCTTGCTTCAATGCTGTATTTGATTTCGTGTCGGCAAAGTGTGCATATCGTAATTGCAACAGGTATTCTTTTTGCCAACGCTTCCAAAAACTTTCAACCAGCAGCTGCCTGTATAGTTGTGTCTGCGTATGGCGTCTGATCGTTTGGAATTACTGTTGACTTCGTCAGCGGTCGCATACGTTATGGAAGTCAATCTTCGTCCAAGGAGAAGTTCGGCTGGCGTCAAAGTGCAAGGTTCTCCTGCATCTGTCTCGGTGAAATCAGAGGCCTAGAGTTTACGACTGCTTCGACTTCAGTCGCTCCATGCCGCTGCAGTTGACTGGTAGCCGTCCGTAGGGTCCTGGTTTTCAATCCCGGTTCTTCGGCACCAATGTTTAGACGATGGCGTTCCAGACACTGCGATTGGACTCAACTCCGTCTTTAAGGTATAAGGCAAAAAATACTTGTTTATTTAACTGCGTTCGGAAGCGCTCTGCTGTCACTTGCGCGTCCCCGCGTCCCTCGCTCGCGCTCTTCTTCTTTCTCGTTTCCTTGTCCCAGCCCAGAACGTGAAAAATAATCAACACCAGTATTGGAGTGCAACCTTTATTCCAGCGCATAGAAGGCCATTCATCGACTCCTGCGACGTGGTCAGAACTGGCATAATATTTTTCGCCCGTATATACTGTCCCACTGAGCTGGCGAAGTCTTTGCGACACGCGACTTTCGCGCCTTTTGGTCCCGCTTCGTCCTTCTCCTCTGACGCCTACGCGGAAATGAATGATAACAGTCCCGTTCCTCGACGCGACGTGTTCTACCAGCCTGCGGCGGCGCTAAATGAGGCTTGGCGTCGTCACGGGTATAGCGATATCGCGACCTTGACTGTCGCGTATGCACGCGTGTTTATGCCAACGCCACGAACAAATTGTCGGTATAGTTTGGGACTCCTGCTGTTTCCTATAACGCGAATGAAATGACCGATCTGGGGTTGCTATATTGCGTGGTTCCGGACGTTACGTGCCAAAACACCAAGGCGAATATAGCGACAACCGTACATGACTTGAGGGCACTCTTGCTGAGCGGAACTATAAGTGTGACTGTGCCGCCGCTGGTTTTGTTTCTGTTGTCTGTATACGTCGTCGCACGTTAGTCGCTATTACGAACGCATATGCTACTAAAGTGGCCTCTTAGAAACGTCGTCCGGCCGGCTACAGTGCGAGATGAAGATCAACGGGGGGGTGGGGGGGGGGGCTTTCTTTAGTGTTTTCAAGGTGCTTTATATAGAATCGATGTGAATTACCCATGCCATCTGATGTATATAAGATGTCCCGAACGAAAACGTTGACATTGTCATTACACGTGTGGTTTACACAACACTACAGCAGCCGTGCAGGGACAATCAATTACAAGAAAAAGACAGTCTGTGCAATCTCCGAGTTGTTGTAGGTTCCTGAGAAGTGCCAGATGCTAACAAAAGAAGAAGAAATGGATGAAAGGCGCATCTCTTTGTACACACAAGCTAATGCAACCAACAAGGAATGAAGCCTGGAAAGATATAGGGTACAATATTTGTAGTCTAGCTGTAGTAATTATGTTATACATGAAAAGAGAGAAAAGTGGACAAAAAGACTGCTGAAAAGACGGCTGTTGGTATCGAACCTACAACCTTCGGATAACGTGGCTAATGATGTATACCGACCGAGCTACAGCGGCGGTTATCCTCTGGGCCACATTATAGCGTATTTTTGAGCGTTTAAAGCTTGTCAGAAGCCTGACACTATCTTGGTAAATGCCAAAGATATGTAGTGCGAGAGTATACACTCATGAATGTACGAAAATACGCAGATATCTTGAAAGCCTGAACAAATCCTATGCCTCTAGTGTGCTTTAAGTCAAACAGAGACGGCATATATATAAGCTTGTTATCTTTAACGTATACCCTCATACCCCGCAGGTCGCGGGTTCAAATCCCGGCTGTGGCGGCTGCATTTCCGGTGGAGGCGGAAATGTTGTAGGCCCGTGTACTCAGGGGTGCACGTTAAAGAACCCCAGGTGGTCAAAATTTCCGGAGCCCTTCACTACGGCGTCTCTCATAATCAAATAGTGGTTTTGAGACGTTAAACCCCACAAATCAATCATCAAATCGTATACCCTCATACCGAGGCGTCCTGGTACACACATTCTGAAACAGCACGTGTTGGTATAAGGACATCTTGCTGCGCCGTGAGCGACTGTGAAGCTTCGAAAATGATCCCTTCGTGAAGAAGCCACACGAAGATACTGTCATGGTGGTTGTTACATCGCTGCCAACACCGTTATGCCGCACAGCAGCGAGTGTACACCGATCGGAATGAATAGTTGAACGCAGTGTCACAAGATGTCGCCACCCCTAGGGCTCGAAACTGAGCATATGCGTCTCTTCATGTGTACAGCGTTATTTCGTTGATACTATTCCGCGGAATAGAACTTTCAGAGTAATCCTTTTTTTTTTGTCGGTTTTCGACCAGCTTCCCGTGGGAAGAGAAAATTTTCATACGTTCAACGCGATTACGTTTACTCGATAAATCGGTTAATACGGCTCTACAAGCGTTGTGGGGTGGGGGGGGGGGGGGGGGACTTCGTTACAAATGCCATAGGTGATCTTCCGAACTATTTCAACAGCGAAGTGTGTTGTATGTGGTTCATGCTACAAAACATAATGTGTCATGCGGTGTAGTGTCCCTCGACGCCATACGAGGCAGCGCTATACTTAGTTCGTCTCCGTGTGCGCCTATATTTATTTGTTCTTGCATCGGATAATACAATTTATCGCATGATACATTTCAACACTACTGTCCCAGGGAAGATGTATCTCACTGTATACGTCTATCCATTGTTGTGAGGACCTACTTTCTTAATGTATACGTTTTTTTTTTTGCTATTGGGCAGGGCTTACATAACCAGTATATGTTCCTTTGTTCTAGGAAAAAAAAAAGTTACAAATGAAGCGAACAAACACATCCGGATACAACAAGTCCAATGTTCACAAAGCCAGTCGCTTGTAAGCGCTATTCGCCATTGGTCGACGCCCTTCGCTAATGATATGTACCACTTCGGGAGTGGTCAAAATTTTCTCTCGCGAACAATACCTATACGTATCTTAAGACGAACACTTCGCGAACTCGAGCCCAGTTTCACCTCTACATAATCCCAACCAAAAAACGTTGATTCTAGGCGGATGTTTATTTCTCGCTCGTTTCTAGCCAGGCATGTCAGAACGCGCGACAGAAATGAAAGGCTTTGTTATTGTGGCCTATAGCTTCGAAGCGCGCACGACAAGGAAATAAATTCCGTTCATGCACAATGAGTGGGCAGAAAATAGTAACCGAACAAAAGAAAAAAAGAAAGAAAGAAAGTAGGAAAGAAAGAAATAAATAAAGAAAGAAAAAAGAAAGAAAGAAAGAGAGAGAGAGAGAAAGAAAGAAAGAAAGAAAGAAAGAAAGAAAGAAAGAAAGAAAGAAAGAAAGAAAGAAAGAAAGAAAGAAGAAAGAAAGACCTGTAATCGCGGAAGATTTTCGCAGGAAGATGCATTTGCAAGGACGCTCTCCGTGGTGGTCAGTGATTTAGCACCATTAGGCGTCGGCCACACACACGAACGGGCAGTACCACTAGAACTCTGGCGCGTCGACGTGCGCACTTTGTGGCTCGCGCACACGAGGCATAGACTGCAGCGCTCACAGACACACACATACACACACGCTGCACACGCACGCCCACAAACAGACGCACGACAAAAGCGTTTTTTGATGAGAACCTGCGCCGCTGATGCCATAGAGCCTGCTTCTTCCTCGTGAGTCTTATATAGTGTTGTTGTTCTTCTTCTCTGACGCAGACGGCGTGAACGCCATGGGTGAGACGAAGCGGCAGCGGACGTCGTACACGCGCTACCAGACGCTGGAACTCGAGAAGGAGTTCCACTTCAACCGCTACCTGACGCGGCGGCGACGCATCGAGATCGCCCACGCGCTGTGCCTGTCGGAGCGGCAGATCAAGATCTGGTTCCAGAACCGGCGCATGAAGTGGAAGAAGGAGCACAAGATGGCCAACACTATTCCACCCCAGATTCCGCAGGTGATCCCCGACCACCATTCGCACATGCACAGCGAAACCAAGGCGTAGGCAGGCCAGCTTGCTGCCGTTCTCATAACAACCGTTTGTTTGAACGAACCTCCCCCTTCTCTCTCTCTCTCCTTGTTTCTCCCGTTCCGACATGCCCACAAAACACCAGATTGAGGAAAAACAAAAAAAAAAAAACGGAAAGGAGATGACGTGGAAAAACAACCATTATTTCGAGAAAGGAAAGAAAAGCCGAAAGAAAAAAAAAAGTACAGTCGATCCCGCCTCGTCCGTTCGTTCATGTGCGCTCGTTCTTTATTTTAAGACGTTTTTTTTTTTTTTAAATGCGTTTAACTTCTTCTTTCTACCACCTCTTTTCATTTCGGTGCTCCTCGCAATCTCGTGACGTCAAATCGCGCGACCGCGGTCACGAGACGCGTCCGATCCCTCGTCGACTGATCTCCCCGCATCGATACAAGCGGCAATTAAATGTACAATGACTCCGTCGAACTGAATCATTCGAAGAACGAAATACCGGAAGCCGTCGCGCTATCAGAGGAACGCAGAATCGGAAGTCAGAAATCGGTTCCGAAGCGCCATTCACCTCATGCCGGGGTTTTCGTCGTGTACAGCTGCCACCGCGAACTTGAACTTAGGTGATCTCGATATCAAACGTTAGCGTGATAAGCGGCAGCATGGAATTAGCCCATCTCCCTCAGACGAAAACACACTATGGCTTCTCGCAGCTACGACTATAGCTTCAGTGGTTCCTTAATGATCCGGCATGACGTTGCCGAATCCTAAAAAAAACATGTCTTAACGATTACTTACGTGGTGGTGCCAGAGCCACTGAGCCAGTCCGAGTGTGCATTTCATTGTTACGTTGCGTAAATAATTAAGATATTTAGGCAAGTTTCATCGTCAAAACCAAGGACATCAAAGTATCGAAATTCAACACCTCGACTTAAGAAAATAGGTTTACAATTACGCCACCATACCCCGCCATCCTTAGAGGTGATGAGTGGCAGCTGCTATTCCTCTGGTGGTCGCGTCGGCTTCTTAGGTGAATTGTAGATTCACCCAAAAAGCCAGCTCAGTCAAATTACTGTTTTAAAAAAAATGACCCTCTCCTCCCCCTTGCTTGCTTTCGGCAGCCATGTGCGTACAGAGCTTCTTCTTTTTCACTTCTCTCGGAGGAGAATATGTAACACGACCAAACTCGAAAAAAGATATTACAAACAAGTGGCCCCAGTAAAAACAAAAAGTAATAACCATCCGCCACCATGCGTACACCACCTCAGTGAAGCGAGCTCCGATGAACACCATCTGGTGCCAGTTATTCAACTATTTGCCCACCCGCGACTAAATTGCTGAGAGCTAATTAATTAGTCAGTTCTGTCTAAAGCTATTAAGCTCTGAGTAGCTTACGCTTCTGAGTTGACCTGAAGCTCGTAATAAGGCATTCTTAATCTTACAAAATTGACTCGAAATCTGGAATTGAAACTTATTACCGAAATTAGGACCAATCTTTCATCACCGTTCAACCAATATCTTGCCCCCGATCGGTTCGTCTTCAGCCTCGCGCATCCAATAAAGACCTAATTGCCTTTTCATATCGGATATTAGCCTTTGCGACCAGCACTAACAAACAAAACGAGCAGAACTGTTTCGAAGCATCTCCCATAATCCTCCGCAGCGGTGTATGGCAGCTATGTAACCTATAGTGTGGTCGGTGTGTCTTTACGCAGTCAAGCCCCCCTTTTTTCGGGAAACAAACAAACGTGAGAATAACAACGGCTGTCTTATCTACGCGCGTGGTGATCGAAATACTGGGATAAGCAGAGCACAGACCTGGATCCTTGCACGAAATCGGCAAATCCGAAAGTACGACAAGAAATACTATCGCGAGAATCGCGCCGGCACGTCGTACAAGTAAAAAAAAAAACAGGCAAGATATGAAGAAACATGAGCGGACAATTGCCCTTCGACTGGCAAGCCTATCGCATTGCTAAAAAAAAAAAGGATCCGGTCAAGGAATAGCTTTGCCCAGAAGTGCATGTCGTGGTCACACGTGTGGTATCATACGACTACGAGAAACAGAGCAAGCAACAAAACAGCAACGACGACGAGTAGAAGAACATTATAAACTCTGAAAACACGACCCGTGTGGCGCCAACTTCCGCGAGGAGAAGAAGCGTGACCTCAACACCGTGCGCTCGAACCATTAGGACTCGCGCCAACCAACCAGACCCACGCAACACCCGCACGAATCGACGTCATCCGAACACTCGCCGAGACGAGGAGGCCATCTTGTATACTACGAGGAACAAGACAGGCTTGGAGAAAAAATTTCGATAAGGAGACTTCGGCATGTGAACACGCCTACAAGGTGTACGCGAGGACTGGCTTTCCGACGTGCACGCCCTCTACACCCACCAGGCGAAAGTGACGTCATCATCTCGCACCGGCGTCTTCTTGTTCACCAACGGGTGTCACCCACGGAAGAGTCGCGTTCTCGCGGAGCGCCCCGTACGCTCTCAAGAGGGTGTCATCAGTTACGTCAACACCTCCTCTCCTTCATCCCGCGTCATCCGAGTGAACTGTTTGGGTGAAAGTGGTGAGGAGGGGTAACGGGTTGCTTTCTTGTTCGTTCGCTCTGTGTGTGTGGTGAAAGAAAAAAATGCACCACCCTGGATAGACACTCTCGGACCAACCCCCGACCCACTGTGAGCGGAATGCGTACGCCCTAACTGCACACGACACCCAACAAACACCGGTTGTCGGCATAACCAAAAATTGTAAGACGAGAGATACAGTGTGTGACACCGCTGAAAGACACACACACACAGGATAAAAGAAGGAAAAAAAGGAATATATATTTATATGTAAATATATTATATATAAAGCATGTATGATCTGTAAAGTGTAAAGCGAAGGTATTATAATGGAGCAGTGAGAGAGGCAGAATTCAAACAAAAAAAAAACATAAAGCGAAAGATACGATTTGCACACCGAACACACACGCGCGAAACACACGAAACACAAACCTACAAGAAAAAAAACACACATACGCTAAGGACTGTGTGACCACGAACTGTGTATCCCTTCTCCTTCACCCCTGTTTCTCCAATGCTGCGATCGTTCCAGAGATGACGTCGTTCGACGCCCGTGTCCTCCTCCAGTCGCCGAGTGGCGCTGCACGCTGCAAGCCACCAATGGGAGCTCGCGGCGTTCCGACAAAGCACGGGCCAAGGCAAAGGGACAAGGAAAAGAAGAACGAGAAAAACAAACTGTTCTCACTCTTTCGGCTACGAGGGCTGGACTCTATGACGCGAGTTGTGTGATGATGCCTAAACACAGCGGACGCTACGTGAAACGGTGCCTATGTGTGCGTCGGTGTCTTCAAGCATGTACGCGAAAAAAAAAAAAAAAACACCTCGGAGCTGAAATATGAAACGACGCAAGAAGGTGTAAGGGAGAGTGTCGTTGTATTGATGTCATGGCATACTGAGGGGTTAAAGATGGGCTGTGGGGTGGCTTACTATTAAGAGAAAGGAAAAAGTGGTTGCGAAGGAGAGGCCAAGGCAAGAGGCGAAGGTGGAAAAAAAGAACACTCAATAATTCAAGGAGAACGCGTGTGAGATTGAAGCTTACGAGGAAAGTGTAGGGTGCTCCCCGTCTGTGTTTTGTTTCCTAGATTTTTGCCCTCCTAGCCGAGTGTGCTATATCGAGATATCTCTTACAGCTTGTACCATAGTTTTCTCGGAAGTGTTGTTGTGGGTAACGAAAAGTGTGTTGTGAAGTGTGATGCTTCGTTTCTTCGTGAACCGGGCGAAAAGTGTGTTTTTTTTTGTTGCTTGTTTCATTTGTCGCATTGATGGTTCGTTGCACTTTATTTGGACCCATCGCTGGGCGAATGAGCGGAGTGTGTGGAGAGATGAACCTGTGTTCACTGGCTGGTTATCACTGTGTCTTTATTTTCCTCGGTCACCGTGTTACTTTTTTCTCGCTCAGGTTTTTACGCCTGTACACACACCACTAACACTGCTGCAAATAAGGAGGAATGTACAAAATTGAGTTTTATATTTACAACTTCACGTGTTACCTGCAGCATTTGGTGAGATACCCCTCTACGCTTGTTTAGAGAATGTGGTTGTGAATTTCGTGTTGTACATAGGTTATTTTACATGTGTTGTTGCTTTTTTTTACAGTTTGTGAAAATGTGCTGCTCATTTTGTGGTTGGTTTGTTTTATGCTCTTTTGAGGACTGAACCAATGTTGCGTTACACAGAGTCATGCCAAGAAGGAAAAAAAGTACTGAAAGAAAAAGGAAACCCGATGAAACAGATAGATGTATGTTTGGAGGCAAGCAAGAGAATTGTGGTTCGTGCCATATTGTTCTCAATTTGCTGATCTCTCCTCATAGTGCTAATTTATTGCGTTTGCATTTACCACGATAGATGTTGGGAGACCGATTTTCGGCTTTTCACTCACCGGAACACGATTTCCCAATAGCGGTTTTTCTTCCCTCTTTGCATAAAACATGTCATGGAGTGCGATTGGTCGCGCAGCTGACGCGTTTGGTTCATAAACAGGGTCTGAACGGCAGCCGGTCGGGGTGAGCAATTTGGCGGCAATTTGTAGTCAGCACTTTAGGAACGACCCGTCAAAATGCTTATCTCGTCGCTATCGCAGGGCCCTCTCAAGGCAGGTTAGAACCGCGTTGAAAGTGAAAAATTTGTCAGTCGGATCCAACAATTCCATTAAACAAGGTTCGGCTTCGATTATCGAAGAGAATACAGCATTCTGTGCCGATTTTGTTGCAAAATCAAACAGGCAAACCAAAACGCCACACAGAAGTAGAGGTAGTTAAAAAGAAAAAAAAAAGAGCTCTCTCTAACGGACATAAATGTGCTCGTAAGTCAGCCCTTATTGGCACTCTACTTATTTGAGATTAGCAGAAAACGAAATTAAACGTAATGCGGGCCTTTTTTATGTGGAAGGAGGGGGTAGCAGCTTCGTTTCTATTACATTAGTTGCCATCATGACAATAGTTAAGAACTTGGGTAGGTTAAACAGTGTATTATGTATTCAGAATGTATTACGAAATTTTTAAATATTCTCCGAATAGCGATTTCTGATTCGCCGACTCGAAAGCACCCCCTCATTGGCAATAGCAAATGGT